GTTTTGCCAGCCTCCAACAACAACTGGCTAGAGGAACTCACTGGGTTCTACAATAATAGTAATGGCAGCACCTATGACCTGGTCACACAGCAGAACTATCGGAGCACCCATACAGCGTGCAACTTTGGAAATGCAAACCAGGAGAGAAGAGTGATGTGAGTCTTCAAGAAAATCGTTCTTAAGCAAAAAGTGCGATGATTGGCTCAAAAAGCGCAGCCTTGGACAGCGCATGAGGAAATTGCTCCGCAAAGGCTTTGGCATCAACGGCGTTGCTCGCAGGATTCGTCCAGTGTCGCGGAAGGCCTGCTTGTGTGCCGTGGAGAGAACCTATTGGAAATAACATGTGCCTCAGGCCTGAAAAATACTCTGCAACTTGTGGATTCAGATATCGGCCGCACTTATGCCCCATCTTCTTGACGCTGGAGCGATACATCTGGGAAAACTTGATTTGATTCGCAAAATCCTCAGCTGCCACGTCGCAAAAACAAACCCATCAAAAAAGAACAGAACTCTGAGCAACCCCGCGCTGATTGCTCTTGTGCTCACATCATTGTCAGGAGCTGCTGTCGTTGTCCCTGAGAAACATCCTTATTGGGCAGCATTCAACAAAACTATCCAACTGATCCTTGTCTTGAGTTTTCCACTGATACTTCCCCAGCTGGAAAATATCTTCACCCCCTTGAACATCTTCGCACCGTTCTCTTTGGCGTGCTTCTTGGACTGGTTGACCTAGGTGTGATGAGCGCGAAAAGAAATGTAACTGAAAAATTCTTTCAGCAGGATCAAACGACGTTGGGAGTCCCCACAACCTTCAAAGCCAAGGGCTCAACTTTGGGCATCTGCACCTTCCAGACATCTAAGGTTCTACCGTCCACACTGGTGGCACAAAGTGGCAAGGTCGTCGAGCTCAGGTCGTCAAGCAAACACTGACGCTGCAAAGAGATCGAACAGGGACATGTGCGCTGCTGCTTCTGCACCAAATCCTTACGCACAGGCTTGGCTTTTGCCTGCAGCAAGTCAGTTCCAGACTTTTCCCACAAAAAACAAACATATCCGGCAAGCCGATTGACAAAAACAAACATATCCGGCAAGCCGATTGAACAACTTCAGCTGCCTTTGGTCGCTGAAGTTTTTCGGCCCTTCCCATCTTCACAGGTTGAGCTGGCATGGCTTCTGGTTCACCGTCAGACCTTGAGACCCGAGCAGGCCAATGAACTGCCAAAAAAAACAACAACCTTACGTCTCAATGTAAGGCGTCCACTCGCTCAGCTGGGTAACCGCGGACCAATGGGCCATACTACAAAAATGGCTCCGAACAGGCGCGGGCAATGATCACACCCGACAGCGATGAAAGCAACATAAAAATACGTGCTTTCCAAAATCTTCAAATTTGCTTGCCAAATACCCACAAATCTCCGCTCATGTGCCCAAAAAGGATAAACTATAGGAAGATGTGGAGGAAGTAAGAACCTATAGGGAGAGTTGGAAGAAGGAAAAGCCTATTATAGGAAGAGTTAGACAAAACTTACACTCCACATCAACGCGTCCCCCCTTTTGCCAATCAACCAAATGAATCTGCTAACTGGCTCAATCAACAATCCAGTATCCAGTCAATCAACCCCAAACTTTCACCGCCAATCACCAACATCCACACTCTCTTGTCCTCTCCACGCACCAGTCAATCACCAACATCCACACCCTCTTGTCCTCTCCATGCACACTCAGAGTCTCTTATCAGCCACTGATCAGAAGAGATTGAAGGAACCCCCATTCATTTTCAGACCCCCATTCAAATGAAATTTCTTTAATGTCATGTCGCGTCAACAGGTCCTGAGCGCTTCCGGTGTCGGCGATCCAGTCCTCGTGCGAATGGTGGAAGTACTTGACCTCCCTCGGAGAGGATGCGGGCAAAGCAACAATGTCAGAAGGAATGCATGAGTCACAACCTAGGTCCGAATCACACATGTACCTACAAGCTGCCTTGACACCTTTCAGCCAACCGGACACCGCTCCCTGAAGCATGCGTGCTGACAAGATCGAATCATCAACTGCTTGAACGTTGGGCTTGGTCTGATAGCTTGCCGGGAAAGTCTTCTTCGGTTTGGATGGTTCCGAAACAAAAGGATCTAATCTGCCCCAAGTATGGATCCTAGTGACATCAGGTTTGAGGTTGAAAGATACACCTGGACACGCAATGTGTGGCTCGCCTTCCCAGGCCGCCTGGCTCTCATTGATGTTGATTCCAATCTGGTCCAGCGCGGATGTCGGACCGCTCAACGAGAAACCATCGACAACGGATGCGAGCATAGATGCGACCAGACAAACTGCTGCGGGAGTGGACTTGCCTGCACTGCCTCTCGAACCACGAGAACCTTTAGAGGATCTAGAGCCTCCAGACTTACGCGAACCACTGGAGCCCCTCGACTGAGATCGGTCTCCCTTCTTCTTTCGACGTTTGTCTTTCTTGCTCTTGTACGTCACTCTTCTGAGAATCTCGTGAAGGCGACCTTGCAGGAGTTGCCTTCCTGGGTCGTTTCTGACCTTCGTGGGAGAATTCACACTTGTCCCCCCGCTTACAGCGTCCAGCCTTCCAAAACTTGCATGCAATCTTGGAGGTGTCCCTTTTCTCTTTCCCTCTTGACTGCGAGCGCCCCCTTGGACTCTTGGTTGCACTCTTTTCACGTTTCTTGGGAACTTCATGCTTGTATGGACAGTTCTCCTTGCTACAACCCCCTTTGTTCCACTGAACACAAAACCCCCTGGGGATGAACGGTGTGCGAGCGTCGGCAGCGGGAGCGGACGTCTTGGCACCTCCAACACTAGCGGCAATCCGTCCCCGATTGTCCTCTAGCCTTTCCCTCATGAGATGTCTGCGAACAGCGTCATACAGGAATTGATAGCAGTGCTTTGAACTTCCCTCTTCGGCCCGGTGGTACTCCTCAATGTCGTGGGCGATTGCCCTGTGATTCTTCACTTGTTGGTAGAATAGAGTTTCCAGGACAGTAGTTTCAGGCAAATGGGTAACACCGGTGGTGACTGAATCCCAATTCGATAAGAAGGTTTTGAGATTGTCGCCCTTCATCTTCACGTTGAACAGATCACTGAGGGAATAGGTGGCACCATGTTTGATGTTGGTGCTGAAATACTCGTGCATCATCAGCAACACCTGTCTCCCCCGTACCGGACGATCTTTCTGGGATTCTTTCTCCTTGAATGTGTCCACCTTGCGAGCGAATTCACCTGTGGCGATGGACGACAGTGCGGCAAGAAGCTTGGCGTCGAGGGTAGTAAACCCGTCAGGACTCGCAAGACCTTCAATGGTTTGACCTTCAACCCACACCTTGTTGATCCACGAGAATGCTTTGTCGGGCTTGGAAGACGCAGCCCTCACTGCATCCCTCACCCTGATTTTCCAATTGCGATAGTTCTCGGGCTGTGGGAACGACGGTATCTTGATGTGGTCAGCTTCCTTCGTGGTACTGCTTTTTCCCCCCAAAACCTGTTTGAGCTTCCTCATAAGAGCCTTGTCTGTCAATTCATCGTCATCATCGTCAAAATCATCTCCACCGTCTGGATCACTGTCATCCCCCGGAGGTCCAGGTGGTCCACCCCCCGACTTAGGAATCTTGAGAAGCGGAATGCCTGGACGCCCAGGATTGATTGGATCACTTGATGAACGACCTCCATCAGGATTGTCTCCTCCCCCTCCCGGCGGTCCACCACCACCATTACCTGGCCCGCCCCTACCGAAGTTGCCTGACAATGCATGTGCTGCTAATGACCCGTACCCATCATTCCAAGGACTCACCGGTTGGAAAACTGTTGCGTTAGGGGAAAATACGCTTCCGGGTTGAGACTTCAAGGATGGAGTACCGAACAGCTCAGCAGTTCTTAAAGACCTGACATCATCGTGTTGGGACAAACCTGCAGGTGGTGCTTCATGTATTGGTATGGATTCACGAAGTTCGGCAGCTCCTTCCGGAATGCCCGGCGCATCATCCTTCCGTTGCTTCATTTCACGAAGTTCCTTCAGGAGCTGTGCCTGGACGGATTCCGTCTCAGTTAGCCGCCTCTGCAAATCCATAGATGTTTGTTGTTGCTGTGCCAAGTTCATCTCGAGGGACGAGACTTTCTGACTCTGCCTCATTTCAATTCCAGCGATATGTTGACGGTGGTTCATGGACATTTCCATGAACTGATTCTGAGCCTGCTCTTGCAGTGATTGATATCCAGTTTCGGCTGCGGTGATGAACAATTTCGCCTGGACCCTCATCTCCTCATTCTCAGAGAACGCTTCGTCAGCTTCGTTTCGGAGCCTCTGTGCTGCGAGCATTAGTTCTGCTCGTTGCCCCTCAAGTTGCTGATTTTGCAAGGCCTGGCGCATCATCTCCGCCAGTATAGCTGGAGGTGTGCTCACAAATGAAAAATTGGCCTGATTGAATACCGGCGCGGTGTTCCCACCCGCTCCCCCTCCGTCCATTGACATGTTGGATCCTCCGTCTGGTGTAGACGAGACGCCCGGATCCATCAATGGGAGATGGAAAGCGGCGGGGTTTCCACCCGCGCTCTCACGCCCATCCGCACCGTTGTACGGCGCAGCCAGCCTCGCGAGGGCTGTCTGGTCCAGACTTAAGTCCATGGCTGCGAATGATGTAGGAGCAATACTACGGGCCTAAGGCTATACGGCTGATAACCTATGTTTACAGGAAATCAGCCAATATCGCTCAACTTTTTCCCTTGAGCCAAAGCGAGGGTAAGGAGGTATATATACAGTGAAGAACAATGCTTACTTAGAAAACACAGGTTCGGACAGAACTGCGTTGGGCGAGCAAGCAAATGCGTATTTCATGATATATCGGGATTCGCTAGGAAACTTGGGGCCCTTAGCCAGTCAAAAGCCTGCGTGGATAACCCTGGGAATCTACAGCACTCCAATTTGTAACCTCATACTCAAACTGACACCTAATTTGCACGCTAGCCGCTAGCACTAGTCAAGCTGCCTGTCTTGGAGATTCCCACCACCTGCCGGCCAGCACAAGCCAAAGGCCAGCAATAGGCTTGAATGGCTGTTGGCTCCTGCAGCTTCCAACCCACTCTTGAGACGAGAATCCACGCAAAGAAAGACCTGGCTACCGCTGATTTACCGTGAAAAATCTGTCAATCTCCGCGTTCTGTCCTTGAACGCTTTGAACTTGGCCATGTAAGAGATGAGCACCTGGTCGTCTAGATGCAAGTGGCAAATGACACTTAAATGACATGACATGCTGACATAAGAAAAAAGACCTGATTATCATACCAACGGTTTGAGCACATAGCGGAATCGTCTGGTGCAATGATTCACTGAACAAATGCATCGCTTACACTTTCAGAACAATAACTAGTACCACAAAGCTTCAAAGACACTGCTCGCAGTGCGCTTGTCACAAGGGTACTTATATATATTGTATAATATATATATTATATATATATTATATTGCGAGTTATATTCACAATGCATACTATACATTACATTACATTACATTACATTACATGCTTCTTGTTCCAAGCACTCTTCAGCAAAGCAATGAACTGAGGCCCAAAACCTGAGGAAGCTTTGCCTTGGCACTGCCTTGTTGCACCAATTCAAACGTATCCTAAGCAACTCCAGTTGCAATTTCAGCAGCTTTATGCTCAAACAAAAAAAGCAAGTACAAAAGCCATGAGGGCCACCTTCAAGACGATCAACTGACTGTGGAAAACTAACTCTAAGCAACTCTTGCAGCCCAAACACCCATGGCTTGAACTCAGAAGCGTCTTTTCCAAAGATCTCAACAGCTGGAGCTGAAGGAGCAGGCTCGGTCAAACTATCCTTGACCGCCTAAAGACAAAAAAACGTCCACAAAAAAGCAACTATTATTTGGACACGCAAAGGTATGGTAACATACACAATGGTATTGATGCTGAGCCTTCTGATCCATCATGCACATTACGTCACATTACTAGATGTTGTAACATCTGCATTACTGATTACTGTATGCTCCCTCTGAGGCGCTTCCAATCCTGCCACCTTGTCGGAGGGAGTGCCAGTTGCTGCAGCTTTCTCCTTCGCTTGACGTCTTCGAGCTGCGCCACTTGTGGTACTCCGGAGCTGCAACTTTTGGCTTGGCGCACTGCTTGGGGCCAATGACTCCGCTGCAGGGCGTTTCCGCTTCCTGCACCAGCCGGGCGATGAGCAAGGTGGGGATAGACTGATAGAGATAATTTTAGTCCAAGTATATGAGTAAACATAACATATATATATATGCGTCATTGGCCCCTCGAACAAGGCCCCCTTTGAAGGGGCCTTATTGTTCTCGCCGACAAGGGTTTGTTGGGAGCAAGGAGGCACTCTGCGCTCCATGCCCAAGGCCCAACATTCAGAACATTGTGATCTATATAGCCACACTCACAATAGGAACAAGCAATCGAAAGGGAAGCACCAGGAGGTTGGAGACTCCTTTGCACCAGCTTGGAAGGCACGACCAACAGCACTCAGCATCCAAATGGCCGCACCGAAAATGGCACCATTGGGAAATGCCCTGCCAGCACAGTTCTTTTCCGAAATTGAACCAAACCAGGTGCAACAACGATTTTCCGCACTACTTAAATATCAAGCCCACTCCGGATCAATTGAACATACGATGCAGGTGTGGCCACAATATTAGAAATTCAAATGGGATACAGTACGCAGGGAAGGAACACATACACACAAGTTCAAAGACTGAAGTGGCCAAATCATCCCCATCTTCTATTTCAATTGATTGCCGAAGCCAAGGAACTGACAACGATTAAGTATCTCTTTGTTTTGAGCTTTTGAAGGGTTTTCTCATATACTTGGACTGGAGGGCCAACTTTGAAGGCACGACCTGTTTGGGGGAGCGTCTTGTTGCTTTGCGCTGAGTTGCATCGCGTATGTGTCCTGTTGAAGGTTTGTTGCTGTCACACCAAAAACTCTGAGATCAAAACTTAGGAGGGCATTCCACGAAGGGCTTTAGCATCCAACAAGTACCACTAAAGTGACCATGCATCCATACATCTTGTCTGTAATATAACAATATAGCACTTCTCCCTATGTGTGTGTGTACAAACAAAGAAGAACACACTAGGCTCCATCATGCTCCATCTGTGACCTTTACGCGCTAGGCTATACCACACTCTTCTGCAGTGCAAAAAAATTGGGACCTGGTCAATGCCACCTGTCTGTGTTGCCTGCGCTGCTCCGCTTTGCCACAGTGTCAATTTTGCCCATCTCTATGCATCTACCTGCAGTAAACTGTAGTATAGACTAAAACTTGAATGAAACATGTCCAGTCTAAACAAATAATATGATGATGTGTTTGCATGCTTGGTTGACTCCAAACGCACAGATTTTTGGTCCTCGGGTGCTCTTGGAAACAAGTCCAAGACATCCGCGTAGGAACGTGATTCAAACCTTTGTGGGTTATAACAAAAACTGTGGTTGATTTAGTAAATGCAAACCACATCTCACGATCTTCTTACAGTCCTGCTGCATTTGACCTCAACTTCTTGCGGAGCTGCAGGAGCTCCATTTCTGTTTTTTTTGCGGCCAGAGCTTCGAGTTTTGCGCCCAAAAATGCTTGCCAACATGCGAATCTATCTGCGACAAAGCGCCATACCTAGTGGTAGCCATCAGGTGACTGCCAAAGAGTGAATCTGTGGATGCCGAACATGCACCGGTGAATCTCACGGGAACTGGTCGCTGGCGGAGGTCAATCCAATTTTTTTTATAGACTGCAAACAAATTAAGCATCCAGGACATCATTCCATGTGACTGGTCAACATGTTTGTTTTGTTTCACGGCAATCATGTGATGACTACTGTAAAACTGAGATTTCGTCGTTCAGAACATCTATATACTGAGCTACGCGGCTGCAGGTGCATCCAGGTCCACTCTCAAACCCTTGCAACAACCAAGTCCCAACCTGTCGACTTGCGCAAGAAACAACGTGGCAACATGGAACCCAGCCAGCAAAGGCTCGCCCATCTCAGCGTGGCTTCGAGCCAGCACAGCAGCCACATCCTGCAACTGTGAACAGTGAAAAGCACTACCGTAAAACTCAATTGTATATGATCAGTCTAAATGGTTCTGTCCCAGTGTGTGTTCTTTTTGCTTCGAGCCTTAGATGCTTTGGGTCTTTAATTTGTCCTTCCCTTTTTCCTTCCTCTTTTCTCCCACCTGCCAGCTGAGGGTTGATAGATTCTATCAAAGGTGTCGTCCTCCTCCTTCTCCTTCTCCTCCTCCTCCTCCCCCTCCGGACTTCAACTGCAAGGGCTCAATCGCAGTGGGTACCGCCGGAACTCAACTGCAAGGGCTGGATCGTAGTGGGTAGCCGGGCCTCACCTGCAAGCGCTGGATCGCAGAGGACGCAGCTGGATCTCAACTGCAAGTGTAGCGGGCATTGCCGGACCTCAATTGCAAGTGCTAGGTCGCAGTGGGCACTGCCGGACCTCAACCGCCGGGCGTCAATTGCCAGCAATGGGCACCGCCGGAACCTCAGCCGCCAGCGCTCGATCGCAGCGGGCACCGCCGGATCGAGCGCTCGATCGCAGTGGGCGCCGCCGGACCTTGCCATACAGAATGCCAGACTATATGGCAAATAGAACGCCAGCAATCATGCCAGAGAGAATAGAATGGCAAAGTACATGCCAAACAGAATGCAAGAGTATACGCCAGATAGAATGCCAGAGTATATACCAGAATGTATGTCATGTAGAATGTCAGCAGCTACGCGAGAATATGTATGCCAGGTAAAGTGTCACAATATATGCCAGATAGCATGCCAGAATTTAGGCCAGAAAAGGATAGATTAAACCAAGGAAATATGCTAGCAACGATGCCAGGTACAATGCCAGAATGTATGACAGTTAGAATGTAAAAGTACATGTCAGATAGAATGTCAGCAAAAATGCAAGACAGAATGTCAGACTCTGTGCCAGATAGAGAATAGAGTCAGCATGTATGACAGAAAACCAGAGAGCTGAAACAGTGCGTCTATAGGTCTCGAGAGGTGTAGAAGCAGAATTGGGCTCCAGAGAGAGGCGATGGTGGTGATGATGGTGGGCGGTAATGGTTGGTGGTGGTGATGGCGGTGATGATGGAGGCGATGATGGTGGTGGTGATGATGTTGGTGAGCGGCGGCGAGGTTGGTGATGGTGGTGGTGACGGCGGTGGTTGTGATGGTGGTGGCAGTGGTTGCGGCGGTGGCGGTGGTGTTGGTGGTGATTGTGGTGGTGCTGGTGGTGGTGCTGATGGTGATGGAGGATTCACAAACGAGGTTTAGAACTGAAGGTTTAAGTTCAGAGTTGCAGAGGTCTGTAGGTGGAGAGAGAGGTCTAGAGATCTAGGGCTGGTGGTCTAGAGAGCACACATATGAAAAGACATTTAAAAGCACACACGACAAAAGTCACTGACGCTAAGCAGTGGGTCAGATTGCAAGTGGTCTAGATCAGCTATGTTTTTTACTGAAAAATAAAGACAATAATAAACACATAAATAGAAATTTTAAAAATAAAATAAATATATAAACATGAAATAAATATAAAAATGAAATAAATATAAAAATAAATATTAACAAAAAATCATTTTAAAACAGTTTAAATCTATTTTTTGAATCTTTAAAATCTTAAAAAATCTTAAAAAATCTCAAATCATCTCACAAGGCGGGGTTCGTGGTAAAGGGTACGGTTTCGGAATTACAAAATAATTTTCCAGGAGCAAAATCTTAAAATATCTCAAAATATCTCAAATCATCTTAAAATATCTTAAAAATGAAAATATGAAAACAAATGAAAAATATGAAAAAAAACTGAAATTTTCTGCAAAAATCTGAAAAATTAAAAAATAAATAAAAAGCATAGAAATATATGCAAAAACACTCTCGTGGTGAGCGTTGTCTGACAGGAACAGTCTGAGATTCTGCAGACTGTTGTGGTCTCAGACGCTTGCTTGCTTGTGGCAAGTGTGTTCAAAAAAGAAAAAATTGTTGTTGTCACACATGATCAATTGTGTGTCAATGGGTTGCTGAAAATGGAAAAACATAGTTTTTGATTTTTTTCTGTTTTTTATGTTTTATTTTTGTGTGTTTCTGTTATTTTCTGTGTTTTTTTGCTTTTTTCTGTTCTTTTCTGTGTCTTTCATGAAAAACCATGTGCGATCCAACCCTTGCAGATCTGACCCACTGCTTAGTCTCAGTGAAAAAGAGAGCGCGCACACACACACACACACGTATTGAAATTCAGATAGAACGCACGCCAGAGAGATAAAATACCAGACTATTCTACAGTAAATAGAATGCCAACATTTACGCCAACTACAGCGCCAGAAAGTCTGCCAGACAAACTGTATGCCAGATAGAATGCCAGCGTATATGCTACGTTGTAAGCCCGCAACTGTTGCTGGATGCCAGATGTATGCCAGATAGAGTGTAAGAATATATGTCAAATAGAATGTGACAGATAGAATGTAAAAGTATTTGCCAGATGGAATGCCAGAGTACATAGTACATGCCAGAACGGGTGCCAGAATGCAATAAATTACTTTACTTCGAGTAATCCCCACCATCTGCTCAAAGCGCAGCCCGAAACACTGCTCCATTGTGTTCCTCTGGAACAATGAGCATGATGTCAACAGCATGGGTTGGCTCAGCTCACTAAAGCGACTCCCCGTTTTCGATGTAAACCCTCGCCGGACGTTCTCCTGGAATAGCCGCCGCATCCATGGGTTCCGATGTAGTCTGGCGCGCCATGACATTTCCATCATTTGTCTTCATGGTCGTGAGCTTTGTGGTTCTTGACTTTGTTTGTGGGCGCTCGGGTTGTGTGCCGTGATTGCGTTGCGTGTGGTGGTTGTGTGCTGTAAATGTGTCTTTGTGGTTGAGCCAGTGTTGTGGTTATGTTTCCGGTTGTTTTTGTGATTGTATTTGTGTTTGTGATTGTGCTTGTGGTTGTGTTCGTGGGTGTGTTGCGGCTGTGTGTTTGTGATTGTGTTTGTGGTTGTGTCTGTGTTTGTGGTTGTGTGTTTGTGATTGCGCGTCGTGGTTGTGTGTTTGTGGTTTTGTTTGCGGCTGCGTGTTTGCGATTGCGTGTTGTGATTGTGTTTTTGTCTTTGTGGTTTTGTTTGTGACTGTGTGTTTGTGATTTTGCTTTCGGTCGTGTTTATGATTATGCGTTGGTGGTTGTGTGTTGTGGTTGCGTGCTTGTGGCAGTGCGCTTGTGATTGTGTTTGTGGTCGTGTTTGCGACAGTCACAGAGAAGACATCCGGCAGGGAACACTGCCAAGCGGACCTCGCGGTTGAGGTCCGGCGGGGAACACTGCCAGCGGGATAGGATATATGCAAATAATATGTGTATATACAAACACGATGGAAACTTCACACTTCCTTTGATGGCAGAACAAATGTCCAAGTACATACCAGGGCACATACCAGGACCGAAGTCTGACCATATGTCACACCACGTGTCAGACTTCACGGCGCGAAAGATGCCAGGACACAGCCAACAAACCAGACTTGATGCCAGACCAAGCGTTGGAACATGGTGTCAATCCGCATGTCCGCCTTTTTCAGGCTAATCTATCAATACACGTGCCCTGCCTTCTTCCAAGTCGCCTTTGAGGGTAGGGATCACTCGAAGTAAAGTAATGTTTTGCTTTGTTTCTTTGTGTATTGTAGTGATTTCCAGTATTATTGATCTATCTTGCAAGTCAGCACTTACACTTCGTTGTGGAGGTGAATGCGCTTGCCTCCAACCTCGTACGAGCATCCTCGCTTGGGGGGCGGCTTTGGTGCAGGCGGTGAACCTCAAGGCATGGCAAAAAAAATCAAGGACCAAACGCAAGAACATGTACTGTAGTAGTACATAAACATAAGACGTGGAGTGAGTAGAGCAGAAGTGGAGTGGTCAAGGCCCTTCAGGTCATTAGCAGAAGCCTTTCGCATCTTAAGCAAACAGGGCAAAAGAGTATATATATATATATATAGCCTATGGTATAGTAGTGATTCATATACGGATTGCGTTTGACAGTAGTAGTAACTCAGTAGCACGAAAGCTATTGGCCACTGCACGCTTACAGTGTACGCATTCTGCCCCACAAACGCTCCTTGCTGTGTCATGTTAACTTAGTTTCTGGGTAGAGAGACACCTCCCTTACATCAAAGTGGAAGTGTTAAGTGACACTAGGAATACTGACAGTGACTTCTTGTCGATAAAATGTAAGTATAAGCTCACAGAAATACGTACATGCTAAGTACAGTACCTCTTGTTTGTGAGCAACTGGCGCGCGCAACTCTCAAGAGACACTGAAAAACGTCTGAGCAACAGCCATGTGAGAACCCCTTGGCAACAGTGACAGTACAGAATCGCACACCCTTGCAGTACCCTATCACGTGCTCTCCGCCCGCAGGAGCCCGCACTATTTGCTTGATGACTGGGAAGGAGCTGGTCACACTCAGCTTTGGCTACCTTGTCACGAACAATCCTGGTCCTAACGATACAAAGGAACGTTGAATCTTGGTGAAGTCATTTTAACTTTGGACGCTAGGTTCTAGAGATTCCACAGGAAATGCTGTGGAAGGACTGACACGTACCCGCCACTTGTGCAATGGGTACATTGCTATTTTTTCTCTCCTCACAACAAGTACTT